CCCCCCCCCCCCCCCCCCCAGGCCCTGCATACATGCTGTGGGCCTGAGGTGTAACAGCAACACCCTCTGGTGGAAAAAATGAGTCACACCTACTCACCCCACGCTGGGGATGGGGATTGTGACAGTAAAACCAGGGGACCTAGAACCTTGACACTCCCCTGCAGGTTAGTCCAGGCTCAAACTGTTCCTCTGCGAAGAAAAGCTGCTGCAGAGCAGTTCTGGGTGAGGAAGGCAAGACTGACTATAGCCGAGCCTAACGGGGCAGCAGGGGAAGCAGAAAAGTTTAAGGGGGTCAGGGTAGGAGCTGGAACATAGCTTGGGCTGAGTTTAGTCCCCTATTGGCCAGTAGGGGGAGGAGGAGGGGCTGCCCCAAGGGAACCGTCTTTACCCCAGAGCGGAGCTAGATTTACTCCCAGCTCCTGCCCTGCCAGTCGCTGCTGTTAAGAATTTAAAAACAGCCATAGTGTGTCAGATTTAAGGTCCATCTAGCCCAATATCCTGTCTTCCGACAGTGGCCAATGCCAGATGCCCTAGAGGGAATGAACTGAATGGGCAATCACCAAGTGATCCATCCCCTGCTGCCCACTCCCAGCCTCTGGCAAACAGAGGCTAGGGACATAAACCCTGCCCATCTTTCGTTAATAGCCAGTGATGGACCTGTCCTCCTTGAATTTATCTAGCTCTTTTTTGAACCCTGTTATAATCTTGGCCTTCACAACATCCTCTGGCAAAGAGTTCCACAGGCTGACTCTGTGTTGTGTGAAGAAATACTTCCTTTTGTTTGTTCTAAACCTGCTGCCTATTAATTTCATTTGGTGACCCCTAGTTCTTGTGTTATGAGAAGGAGTAAATAACACTTCCTTATTTACTTTCTTCACACCCATTGTGATTTTATAAACCTCAATCATATCCCCCCTTAGTCATTTATTTTCCAAGCTGAAAAATCCCAGTCGTATTAATCTTTCCTCTCCTGCCCCTGTTAACCTCTCCTCCGCACAAGAGCTCTTCTGCTTGAGCCTGCCTCATTCAATCACTAAGTCACCCTAGCGCCCTGAGACATGAGGCGCAAGAAAAGGCTGCATGAGAAAAAACTTCCAATCTGTATATTAGCTTGGCAGTCCCCTAGGTTACTGCAGGAACCAGCAAGGTCCCTCAGAAATAAAGAGAAAGCGCTGAACATCCATCCTCCCGTGTTTATTTCAATTGCGTCTTGCCTACATATTTTAAAAAAAAAATAACAGGAACAAGCACAGGCTTTCAGGGGATGAAACCCTCTCAGCTGCACTGGGCTCCAGCCACTGCTTTATTTTAAACAGGCTCAGAACATTGCCAGCTTGAAAAACCTCACTTTTTGTGACAAAAAACAGTACAAAACTCCTTTGCTCGAGTTCCTTATTCCCCAAAATATAAAAGTATAAATTCAAGGGGGAATGGATTTATTTTAAAGCCTTCAGAAGAACAAAGATGCCTTTATTCTCTCTGGTCCCAACATTCAGATCTGCCATGAGCATGTCTGCACCCAGGCTGTCTGGCTAGTTGTACAGGGACAGTAAGGGCCCTCTTACACAGCAAAATACAGAGCGGAGACTGCTTTATAACCTGGTCTTGCCTTGCCTGTGTGGAAGGAACCCTGTTACAACCAAATCCAAATCTTGTTATACCATGGTCCCTTCCACAGCAGATGCTGATAGGCAAACAAGTCCTAAAAAAGACTAAGCCAAAAAAAGTTATTTGCAGGCATTTTCCATTTCAAATTTTCTCCCTTCCCCGATTTTGCTGACCAAAGAGCATCACTGGTTTGGCTCAGAGCATGTCCACTCAACAGCCTTTAATCTCAACTCACATTTCTCCCCCCTCCCACCAATTTAACTCTGAAGTTATAGTGCATCGAGGATGTTGTCAATTTTGGTGACCAGCTCCTGGCGCTTGTTGGAATGCAGCTTCTCATTCTCAATGTACGTGTCCTTCTTAAGCTTGCCGGCCACCAACCGCTCTGCCTCAACAGACGATTTCAGAACCAGCTCCTTGACTTGACTGTCGAGCTTCTGAATCTCGCTCACCTTGTGGGAGTTCAGAATAAAGGAATATTAAAGAGGACTGAACACAAATAGCCCTATGACACGGCTAAGCAGAAAAGCTGGTAGAGCTGGGACCAAGGAAGGCACAGCACAGGACATAGAACAGCCTCTCCCACTGGCATGGCTATAAGTGAACATGGCATTTGGAGGGTTCCTCTCAGGGGGCCGGGGTGGGGGGAGGGCAGAGCAGGTTTAAATGGAACCTCAGAAGCCAGAGACAAGCATTGAGATAGGTGTAATTCTTACTTTCAGTAATGTTTAATGATAAGTTAGAGATTTTCAAATCTAGGTCACCAGTACAAATCCAACTCAGGACCATGGTGGCCAAAAGTAGTAGTTTTCCGGTAATTATTGTGGTTGCCAGGGCGAAGTGAGTTTGGTGGGTCTCAATCCCATTCACAGTGGGATCAGTACCCACAGCACAAAACCTGATCTCCCCACACCTCAAGGTGGGTGGCTGCTTCAGGTCAGAGCTGAGGCATAAAGGTTGGGAATGGTAGTGTGTGCACTGTGCTGCCATGTTGTTGCAGAGAAAGGAATTCAGTCTACTGGGCTGTGAAGGCAGCATCTCCCACCAGTGTGAAATTCACCACGTGCACAAAAATAAAAGATTAACAAGTAAATGTTTTCAACTCTCTTGGTTTCATTTTACAATGAAACCAGTGAAGCAATGAGATGAGGCACTTTCTGTGCAAAAATCAGAGTCCCAGACATTGTCAGTCAAGACAGCAACTGGAGTAGCTGAACACCTGTAAGTGCTGTTCTCTTGTTATCCCAAAGAAGCCATGTAATATGAAGCAACAGCTTCCCAGGTGGATTCTGGCAACAAACCCAGAAATAGCCCAGGACGCCCAAAATAACTTGTGTTACTGGCTTGGATAGTTTGATAATATACAATCTGTTGGTATTTTTCAACTTAGAAGATCCACGTTCTCATTCCATTTGCCATTACTAGGAGTGTAATGATAAGATAGAAGCAGGATTGTATGTTACAACTGCATTAATAATGTGCCCATGCAGCTGGTCTAGGGGAATCTTTCGGAGATAGTGAGTGCTAGTGGCAAACAACTTTTTACCTCCACACATTTTATAGAGCAATAAAAGCAAGAGTAAAACTACAGCAGAGCAAAAAAATGAAACAAAAAACAATTAACTCCATCCCCTACATCTTTCTGACAAGAAGCAAGTAATTTTGGAGTGGATGAAAGAGAGAACAGGAGGCAGCAGTTAAGCGAAGCATCAGAAGACATCTAGAATGGAGGCAGAGTAGCTTACAAGGCTAGCAACAGAGCACAGCTAAGACAGGAGAGAGCTCTTACCTTATCACACATGTCAGAGCCTTCTGTCTTCAGCTTAGACTGCAGAGAGGCTACTTCATTGGTCAGGGCCTTATGCTCTGTCTCCAAGGTCTTCTTGCCACTGTTTAGAGTGGAGATGTCCCGTGACTGCTTGTACTTATTCACTGCTTCATCAAAGTGGCGGTACAGGCCCAGTCTCTTGTTCACCAAGGTGAGAACTTGCTCTGTTATGCAGGCCACCTTCATCCTAGCTTCAGCAGCTGGATCCTATAAGGGGTGATAAGGTACATAGACAAGCACATACAAAAAAAACCTTAAATTGAGGCAATGCCTTTTTAGCCACACGTGCTATACAAAAGCATCACAGATCTTACACTTTACAATTTAAAACCAACAGCTGTCGAAAGAATGCCAAAATTAGCTTGGTCATATCATAGAAGCCTCTGGCTGCCTCTAATCAACCAGCCTAGCTCTGGGTTAATAAAAACCAAGGGAAAACATGGAGGAAGGGACTCCCACAGGAGAGTCACAAACCAATTAGATTCAGATGGGCTTGCTGTCCCAGGGCTGGAATATTTTACATGGAAGCTAAAGATGGAGTATCCATCACATACCAAGACAAAACCAATAGGTCTCTAGGTGCTCAGACACTATAGTGATAAGGGACCATGTAAGTACCTAAATAGGAATATTCCAATGGAAAAACATTTAGTGAGGGGAACTATTTCTACAGGCAATTTCCAACCATCAGGGGAATAAAACTTCCCCCTCAGTCACAAGGCTGCAACTTGCCATATAGTACCTTGGTGATGGAGAAGTCAAGCCTCACATAGAAGATCACTGTGAAGAACAAGATGTAAAAGGCTCCAACCACCAACAGCGGCTCTTGCAGCATCAGGATCTTGTTGAAGGTGTAGTGCACCTGCAAAATAGGATTCAGAGAATGTGCTCAATGACTTGCCATTAGTCAAGGGAGAAACTTCAAGCACTTGAATGTTCCTAAAAACCAAGGAAGAATAGTTATGGCCCACAGAATGGATCCAGCTCAGATAATGCAAACTGTGTAGTCAAGAACCTAGACACATTGCTGGTATTCTTTATCTCTTGAGCAACAAGCTTCCCCAACTGGGCTGTGCGTTGGCTATACTGGCTTTCCTTAAGGGCTGCGACCCAGTGAGAATCTGTAATGCAGACATCTTCCAGCAGAGAGAACTTCACATAGTAACAGAAAAGCAAAGCCACACAATTTGCATGTCATTTTTCAGGAACTCCTCAGCCCCAGACCAGATATCGTTATGACTACAAAGGTGAGCGTGGAGGAGGCATGGCTGCTCATTTAAGTTATTCAAACAAAGGGGCCAAGCCTACCACAATGTCCTGGATGTGCTGCTCTACCAGGTTGTTCTTGTGCGCTACAATAACCGGGCGTCCAAATGTGTCCAGGTAGGTGTAGTGGAGCTCGTCAGTGGCTCGGTTGATTTCATATGGGCTGTCCACGTGAATATTCCTGCAGGAATAAACAGACACATGATTCTAACATGTCTGAGATGGGATGGCTTAAGATTTGATTGGCCAGTTGTGGCCCAATGCACACTACTCAATTGCACATTGAAAACAAGTTCACTGCAGTTTAAGAAGCAATTTATAATATGTGACAGACTGTGCTCCAAGGTGTCTTCTGTGCTCATGTCAGCCGTTGTGCTTTCATGGTGCTCTGTCCCCAAGAGCAGACAGGAGACTTGGCCATCAATGCACAAGTGAAGCATTTTCAGCAGTAACAGTACAAGAGCAGTGTCACTTACTTGGCACCTTCTGGCAGGATTATCTTTACGGTCAGAGAGTCTGCAACTTGCTCATCAAACACATGGTCAATGAACCTCATCTTCAGGGCATACTGGTCACCTGAGAGAAGGCAGAAAGGACAGAAAAAATTCTAGGTAATTTAACAAAACAGGCTTCCATGGAAAGGTTTTCCTAATGTCTGTGAATCTCAGGATGCTGAAGGACAGGGGCCGTATGCACTCCTCAGCAGAGGATCATTTGGTTCCCCTGAAAATGGCAGTTTTTAACAAGAGGTCTAAGGATACAGGAAGAGGCACACGCAAGCTGGAAACTGGCTTGTTAGTTACAGAAGTAACAGCTAGCAATAAACGCTAAAAGGTTACAAGGGCCCTATACTGTACAAATGTCAGATTTTCAACACAGTAAGTCTGGCCTTTTGCTACCCCAATCCTGTGACACCCACCAAGGTTATAGAGATATTCATAGCTAGGCAGGTTGTAGCCAACGATGTAATGGGTCTTCCAACCCCCAAAGAGCGGGAAGCGGGGGCGGATCTCCATCTCCACAGAGTCATCCAGGATGAGAAGGTGGCTGGTAGAGATGTTTCCAATTTCATCTCGGTAATATACATCCTGAGCTGCAGCAGGAAGAATGGTCTGCATGGGAGAGAGAAGCAGCACTCAGTGCATTTGCTAGAGAAAGAGAATTTCCACTAGAATAGGCAAAGCAGTCACTGATGACACTTGGTTCAGCTTCAGTCAGGAATAGCACCACTTCTCGCAAGAAGCAACAAAATGACTTCTTGGCGGCAGCATGTGGCAAAATGGTGTCAATGTAAGTGATCAGCCACAATGTGCTCAGCAAAAGCTATTGCCCATATTCAGAGAAGTTATAGATGACAAAGCCCTATTGGATCATCCAGTCTATGGCCTTGAAGTCAACGTAACATTGTTCCCTACAGAACAGTGTCAGTGGTACTTTATCCAGTCCAGTTTCCCAAACAATGAGGGACATGCCTACCACAATGTCCTGGATGTGATGCTCTACCACTTCCTTCAGGATTCTATTTCATATCCTATCTGATCAGCCTAAATTCCCATTTCATTCCATCCCATTGCTCCTAGTGGGCTGAGCTTGCGAATTCATACTCAACTCAGTAACATTTCTGTCTGTATTGATGTCATGTGACAATTTTTGACCACTGCATGCAATCAATTCCAAAATTTCAGGGAATATTCTAGGCATCAATGGGCAGAACCCCACAGATTCTGGTGAAAAAAACCAGAAAACCAGAAGGGAAAATGGGGACAGAGCTCCTAGCATCTGATCAGCAAAACAAGCAGCTACAACCAGCTCTGTAATTGTCAACAAATCAAGTAACTTGTTGATGGCAACCATTAACACGTTCCAGCATAACAATGGGGATAATAGTATGGGAGGAGGCGGATGGTGGAGCCCCTCCATGGGAGGTAAGGGGAGGGAGTGGCAGGGTGGCACAGAGAACCCCTTTCATGAGGGAGGTTACCGGGAGTCCCTGAAATAGGAGGTAGGAGGATGGTGTGATGATTTGGGGAATCTGTCTGTACAATCTGAGGTCTGGTTGATGATGATATGAAGTTGTTACTATAAAAACTGCTGTATCACTGAATGCCTCTATGTAAATGTGGAATCTGCCATTGCTGACAGGGCTGAAAACACATCTCCAGACAATGGTTGGTCACTGGACCTTCAGTTGCTGCCTATTCAGGTGGAAACATCTGAAGGACAATGGGTTGGCTAAGGTTAGGAGAACTAGTTTTCTCCAACCCCGCAATAAGGTGTTTGGAGAGTGGAAAATTCCTATACAACATAAAGAGAAAGCACAGGTGGCAAAGCAGGAGTTCAGAAGGACTCCAAGTGAAGGAGGGATGGGTCAGTTTAGCAGTGGGATCAACCAAGGTCAGAGAAAGCAAGCTGACCTGCCCCAGAGAGGGGCTCCATGGTTCAGAAATTATGCCATAAGCTGCAGCAGAGGATCCTGGACATCCCCACAAGACCTTGATCCCAGCCCAAAGAATGCTCCAGAGTGGTGAGGAAACTGAGGAAAGGAAGTGCATGTAATGTTTATTGTTTTCGTATACATTTATGTATTTCTTGTGCTATCAAGTAAAGAGCAATGGTATTTTACAATTCTGTGCAGTCTGTTATGTGACACACCTATCGTGTGTCCCTGAAGCGTTAACCCAGGATGTGGCAGGAGTTCTGGGAGAGGGTATGTTTAAGCTACAGGGGAGTCTGGGGGAAGAGGGGTCAGCACTAGCCCCAGGGGATGGGTAGCTGGACTGCAGGCTTACAGCTCTCAGGAGGGGTACTAGACACAGTATTGGCACCCCAAAAGTGTGCCTAGAGACCCCAAGCTAGAGGCAGTGAATGACTGTTCAGACTCTGGAGGCTTAAAGCACACAGGGATTCAGAATTTGGATCCCTTCACAGCAGTCTGGTGTGTGACCAAGAAGGGGCGTTCAAGTGGCTCTCTGACAGGTAGTACACAAGCAGCTTGTGAGGAGAATGTAGGATGCACAGAACACTTGGTTTAGGCAATAAGCCTACAGAAGCAACAAAGCGTGTGACACCTCCCCCGCTCCCCAGTTATACCTTCCTGTACTACCGTGAGTAATTCCTCTTTGGTAATGACATCTTGTAAATATTTGAAAGCTTTTTATGTTTCCCCCTTATCCCTTGTGCACTGTTGTCAAATAAGAGACAAAAGAAAGGGCAATAGGATTTTCTATTGGAAGGTGGTAAGAAAGAGGGCACAAAATGCAAACCTTAAAAGATTTGACAGAAGATATTCCACTGTCTGGCTGCCTTTGGTAGTCATATCTGGAGAAAGGCCCTTTGAGCACAGCTCCTGTGTGCTTTAAGTCAACAGTCTCTTCTACAGCAATATTTCCCCAGTGAGACACTTCAATGACCCGTATCATACTGGTAATGGTCAGGAACGGGTTGTTATTTTCATAGTGTACCTTAAGGATGTCCTGAGAAGGAAAGAAAATAAGATATAAATCCCAGACAAGGAAGTAACAAACCCGGGGGGGATTCCCCCTCCATCAAATCCCAGAGTGAATCATTCCATTATAGTGGCGGCCATTAGCAATGGCCATCCCTGGACCTCCTTTTTTGATTTAGAACAGCTGGTCATACAATACAGGGTGTAAAATGCACACAGCTCAAAACTAACACACCTAAGCTGAAGCACAGCTCTGACACTTTGGAGATATCAATTAAAGCACTTTAGCAAAATTTCAGCACCTGTTCCAGCTGTTTTAACTGATCAAGTGAAAGCAGCTGAATAGATATGCTACGTTTTACAAGTGACTGCTCACAACAAGGAAAGTTAACATGGCAGATAGGAAGCCCCTAGATACTGAGATGTCCCCTGCCATTAATACAACTGACTGCAGGTAGCAGGATTCACTGAGCTAACTGATGGATGCTTTGGACTGGAGAGAATCAGGATCCCAGAGCAAAGAAGTTATCTCATACAGACCAGTAACAATTAGACAACTTGGACAGGTGGATATCTCCTGCTATCAGCACCCCAAAATAAACAAGACCATCTGACCCATATGTTCCAAGGTGCCATTCCTTTGAGCCCACACCATCATGAGAGTAACTGAGTTCCTGACATAAATCCCACTGGAACAACTGGTGATGGGTGGGTGACACTTGACAGGAAAAACAGCCAGATGTTCAGGTGCTTGGCTTAACACTTAAGTGGTGCTAAATCAAACTCTGAATCTTGCAGCGAGGATGCGGATACTGCATATTAAGGACAATATGTACAAAGTAACTAGGTTGTATATCAGAGTCTCTTCTCCATACTACCCCATGAGCTTCCTTAAATATTATACACTCAGAGTAGCAGGTGTTTGCCCCTCAGCATGTTACTACAACTATTTCCTTTTAATTTTTTTGGAGTGAATTTAGTGTTCCTGAATTGCCACCCTCAAGTCCTCTCTGTGTACTCAGAGCAGGTATAGCAAAGGCAGCTGCAGTTCAGACTCTTCCCCCTACCATGCCATGACATCCATGCCCTGGAGAGAGACCCCTCTCTCCAAGGGTTTCTCATTGGCAGTCTCAGCAGAGAGGCAAGTCCAGGGGCAATTAATGCCAACTGTGGTGGCTTTGTGATACTGACACTTACCCATTAGGAACTGGACTGAGAAATACCAACTCAATTCACATAAGACACCAGTTTTCAGACACTTGCCACCATCCTAATCTGTGACTTAGAGGCAAATGCCGCTATATCCCATTCAACTTCTTGAGCCATAATTGACACATTTATGTGATGCACTTTGCAGGACAACGGTCTACAATTTATTTTCAAGAGCCTTTCAGACGGTTTCACTAGCCACAAGAGTTTACCTGGCTATATGGTGGGATGTCCTTGAAGGGCCCATATTCAATCATGTCCTCTGACCGGGTGGGATTGCCCAGCTTGGTGTAGTTCTCTACGTTCCTGGAGGCCAGTTTCACACGCGTAGTTTGGGTCTTCGTTGGGTATGGCGAGTAGAAATAATGATTCCCTTCAAAGACCACAAACTGTTTCTCTGCCTGTGTGATGTGCGTGGGGTACGGCTGCAGGACATGCGTGAAAACTGTTTCAATGGATAAACGGATTTTGGCACCTGGCGCCAGAGGCGATGGCAACTTCACGGTGAAGAATTTGCCACTGAAAGGGAGAACAGCAGGAAAGGTATAAACACCAAGATCTCCACTGGGCTGATGCACACTCTTAAGCCCCTGCAACACACACTGGTGCAAAGGGGAACCTGGAAGTTTTCTGTTTGCTCTTAAAGGGCTCCCTCCAGCAAAACTGGGAGTGCTGTACAAAGGCCTTGCAGGATCAGGCCTAAAGTAGATTTCTGCCAGTAGCCTGGTGCTTGTTCCTCAGGAGATTTCTGTTGTACTGTGTGGGTATATTTACATATAAATGGTGATAGGGCAGTCTATAATTGGATAGCATTTGGCACAGGCCTGAATGGATACTCAAAGGGAATCAAGCCAACATACCATCTGTGTGATGTTTTTGGGGTAGAGATACTGGTGTGTTCCTTTCACCATTTCTCTACAGCTGCACTTCACTGTGGATTTTCCATTATTCTCTCGGTGGAGAGAATAATCTAAAATGGAACATGGGCAATGATCTGACAGGAAAACATGCATCCTAAGTTCCTACTCCTAGGAGTCTGTTACCTCTCAAGTCAGCACTACTTGTTCTCCCATTGGACTGAAGCTGAATAAGGATTAGGGTGACCCGACAGCAAATGTGAAAAATTGGGACTGGGGGTGAGGGGTAATAGGAGCCTATATAAGAAAAAGACCCCAAAATCGGGACTGTCCCTATAAAATCGGGACATCTGGTCACCCTAATAAGGATGTCCATGGCCAGGGACCCAGCAGGGGTATCCTGCAGACAGTGAATTTTGGAGGTGTGGGACTACAGAAAACAAGTTTTCACCTAATCCACAGCAGAGTTCTCTTGCAGCCTTCAAAGAAACAGATACCTCCACAGCAGGTTCACAGCACCTAGCAAGAGCTGCTGCCCAGACAATGGAAGGAGAGTAGCTAACAGCCCCATTGGATGGACCTTGGCAGTTGCGGGAAGGGAGCAGTCTCTAACTCACTGGTGATGCAGCCCTCCAGCTGGATTAGTTGGGGCACCTTCAGCCAGTCATAGCTACGAAGTGGGCACTGATCTGCCTTGATAATTCAGTGTTTCACTCCATAGCTACCAACCTCTTGAGATCACCAGCAACTAGTGCTGAACCAGTTTAAAAAGCTCACCTTATTTAATAGCTAACATGCACAGCCTCTGAAAGAGCCTTGCACTACAAAATTCTGCTCTCCCAAGCATGGTGCAAATATGGAATACTTCTCCAAGTGTGGCAGATGTGGAGCCTCTGGCTAGAAAGAGTGCTCCATCTCTGGGTTAGGGGCTACAGGCCCATTTTAAGCTGCAGAATCTAACACCCTGCAGCAAAAATATGGTTCAGTATTGCCGCGTAAACAGAGCCAAACCAAATTTGTAACTGTATGTGATGGGCAGTACAGACCCTTAAGGGGCCCATGTGGTTCTAATGCATCTCCACCCCAGTTTCCCTAATAGTTGCCAGGGAGGTGGCAACAGATGTTCTGACAGGAGGGTTTCATAAGATGTTAGGGTCCAGGGGGAGTTCCCTACATAGCACAGGGGAGCTGAGGAAGACACCTGTACTGCATCCGTAAAGAAAGAGCAGTCTCTAGGAAGAGAGGCTGCCAGACAGACTTCTTCATTTCCCCAGGAAACTGAGGGCATCTACTTTTGCTGACCTGGGAATCAGCCTACAGTGTAGGACCTATCTGGTTCATTTGAGTAGCCAGCACAGAGACCTAGAATTACATGCACGACTTCCCAGAGGAGGAGGGGATTTTTTGTTTTGTTTAAGCAGAGGAGCTTCTGGAGCTTGCGGTTGGGACTGGAACTGGGGTTCTGCCATTATGTGTTACCTGTATTCTCAAATTGTGCTACAGGCTGTGGTGTGAAAGGTAAGATGGGTCAGGCTGTGGTGTGAAACATAAGATGGGCCTCTGAAAGAATAAAGGACACCCAACCACCATCAAGATTGTTGTAGGGGCTGCGTGATGAAATATTTAAGTCCTGAACTTGTTCTTTAGATTCACATCTCTCTTGATTCTGCTATTACTCGACTGGGGAGGTCCAATTTGAATGAGTAAGTTACAAATACTGGTCCCTAACAGAACTGCTCCCTATTATTTGGCATTACAGGTTAAGACTCACCTTTTACCTTTCACCTTAGTCTCCCGCACTTCCAGGGTGTTCTCCTCCTCTTCCTCCCCTTTCACCTGTTCCAAAACAAAACATTACAGCCTGATCACCATGTCACCATTTAGGCTTCCCATGTGAAGCAGCTGAATTTATCAGGTCAAATACTACACCATTCCTATTCATTTCTTAATGGACGACACACAACGCATACTAGTTGACAAAAAAATTGTTTATTAAAAACCCAATATCTATTAGCTTCACAGTCATTAGTACTGGCCAACTCAACAAATTGTGGTCTGTATCCAAGAATAGAAACTGGAGGCTCCTATTGAACTTTTTGAAGCTTTTGCCAGTGTCCTAGGCTGATTCCCAAGCTAGCAAAGGCATGGAACTGAGTCTGCCAATGGCCGACCCTACTCCTCCAGCAGGCCCTTTTACAGAGCTTCTCTCACTGGAGCTCCTAGGAGAGTGGCCACCAAATGAAAAAGCAAAGACTGGCACAACCGTCTCATTCTGTTGTCATCAGAAAGCAGCACCTGCACAGCTACTCTCTCAAACCTCTTGAGGAAAAGAGTGCTGGATTGATAGCCCTAGAATTGGAAAGTCAAGTCTTCTAAGCATCCATAGGACAAATGCAGCCTGAAAGACTAAAGCTTTCCCCATGCATCTCTGGGTCCTGCTCCAACATGTATCCATACTGCTCTGGAAAGACCACATTTAGATGTGGTAAATGAGACACACCGATTAGCATCATTCTCCATGTCTCATTCCCTTTTGAGACACTATAAGCAAGGTTACCCAGCCTCCTTGTTTCACAGTCATCATAATGGCCTTTTAGTAGCCTAATTATTTGTAGAGCACCAGCAGCATGCTAGGAACTTTATAGACATCTGATGGTGACAACCCTCAGTCACTACCAAACTGAGCTGACTTTGAATAGGGGACCTAGAAGTGAAAGTCTCTGTATCCTACCACCACTTGAGTGCTATCAAAAGCAGCTCACAGAATACGCATGCAAAAGCCTTTGTTTCAGTACCACATTAACACAATGTGGACCAAAGTCTGCTCTGTTACACCAGCATAAACCTGGAGTAACCCTTCTGAAGTTGATCCAGATTTATGCTGGCATAGGATAATGATTTATTCTTCGTACTGCAATGGTGCCTGAAGTGTGTTAAGCTGTACTCACAGAAGCAGTTGCTGTCCAAGTGTGTACAGCTCAAGAAACTGAAAGCAAAATTTAGATCAAAGCAGAACTTGATCCTTTGTGTTTCAGTGGAGTTCTATTGATAATCTCTACTACTACTTTAAATCCCAACTGTATTTTTAAAGCATTAGGCTATTATTCTAATACTTTGCTCTTTTATAGGCTACACCAGGAAATTTCAAAAGCTTAAGACTTACATCTCAAGCTCTGAGGTAGGGCAGCATTATTTATCCTTTATGGTAGGGGAAAATGAGGCAGAGTGGTGAAGTGACTTTGGCCAGGATGATACAGTAAGTCAGTCGCAGAGCTGGAAGCAAAACCCAAAAATCCTAGCTCCCAGCTCCTTGAACTAACAACTGCTTTTCGGAATCATTCACCACTAAATACTGTAAGTGGTTCAAGTGCTTGAAAAAGGTTATAAGTGGATGAAAGGGTTAGGCAGCCATCTGACAGTTGCCCATTCAGACTCAGGGCCCAGCTTGTATTTACATCTTTCACTCTCCCGTTTATATGGATCTCCTTCTAAACTTTAGCCACACAAAGCTGAATCCAAACAACTGCAAGGCTATGAATGTTAACTGTCAAATCACTAACCCACCTACCCATGGCATAACAAAACCACCCTTTGCCCATGCCAAACATAAAAACTTAAATCTACACTATAAGAGCAGGTGGGGTCCCTACTACTAAAGACATCCAGAAAGTGCAGCGAAATAATAAGGTTTAAGAAGCTGGATGGATCTCATGCAAGTGGCCTGCAGCAGCCAGCATTATGCCTTAGGGAACTACTAAGACACCTCTTGGATTTCTCCATCTCCCCCCACGGTGTGGTTAGTGGTTGCATTGCAGCGGCTGAGGCACTTATGCTTACGTGTCAGTATCGGCCAGGCAGGGAAGTGGCTGTCACTGCACCAGCAGCCCAGAGTCAAAGGCAGGAGAAAAAACAAGGGCCACCAGCGGGGAAAGAACTAAGCACGCGGCTGGGGCTGCCCGGGCAGCCAGCTCTGCCCAGGCGCTGCCCTAGCTTGGCAGGACGGCCCGCAAGGCCGCTCGCACGCCCCGGAGGTGTCCATGCAATGAGCGACCTCTGGTTCCGCAGCACCGAACCGCTCACACATGAGGGGGGCCCGTGCAGGGGTAGGGGCCGTCCCCCGCCGCAGGGGCACCGCCGTGCGGAGGGGGGTCCCGCCACGCAGAGGCCGCGCCGCAGAACGGGCCAGGCCGAGGGTCGCTGAGGGGACGGGGCCCCTGCGGAAGAGCGGGCGAAGCCCAACCCTGGCGCACTGCCACGCGGGCCGGGGAGCGCACTCACCTGCACCCCGAGGTAGGCCAGGTGGCTCTCCAGGCCGGGGTCCAGCGCCAGCAGGAAGGAGCTAGCGGCCCCGGAGCCCCCCGCCGGGTTGGCCAGGCTCAGCTCGGCCGTCACCTTGGCCAGGTGGGTGCTGAGATCCACCGTCCGCTTCACCTCCTCATTGAGCAGCTCCGGGGCGGCCAGGGCGCAGCCCAGGCAGAGAAGCAGGCGGCAAGCGAGGCCCTCCATGGCCGGCCAGGCAGCGGATGAAACCGGATGGACTCACACTGTTAGCGGCGGGGGCCCTCATCCATCGGGGAGGGCACAAGATGGCAGCGCCCAGGCCGAGGGAGGGACAAGATGGCGGCGCCCACCAATGGACCAGGGCACAAGATGGCGGCGCGCATAACAGCAAGGACCCCGTCAGTCTCTGCGACTAAGGGGGCTACGCGGATGCCTAACTAAAAATGCTATGGCCAAGGACAGCGCTGAGCATGCCAATTCTCCTGTAGGATCAGAATCCTAAGTTAGTGAGAGTTCAGACCTCATTGCAGAGAGCAGAGATTGTCCATATATTGTGCAGGGGGTGGATACTGAGTCTGTTCTTCATAGCTTCCTCCTGGAACCTAGATAGATCTGGGCAGAGCCTGGCCATGAAGCTTACAGTGAGGCCAACCCTCAGAAACCACAGAACAGGCTCCTGTATCATGAGAGTTCATTCAAACAATAAATGTGGGTATTTCCCCCTTTACTGTCTAGTTTCTGAGCCACCTTTAGGGTGCATTGGGGTCAAGCTTTTCAACCATGAGGGTTAGAGACTCTTTTAAAATTGAAAGATGAGCCACTCATCATCATGACTCCAAGAGCTGGGGCTTTAAGAAAACCACCAAATATCATAAGTAGCATGATAAAATCATAAGAACTGGCAATGCTGCTGTCAATATCACTAACCCTTAGCTGCAAATTAATTAGTTGGGCCTAAAAATAATAAGGTTGGCTTAAAAATAATGAGATTTTTAAAATATTTTTTTGTTTTCTGGTTTCCAAGCTATTTTGGATGCCATTGGTTCATGTTTTCAAGCTTTTTTCTCTGTGATCATGGAAGCTAGAAACTTGGAAGAACAAGAAGAAAAAGACAGCTGAGATTCTCATGTAATGACAGGATTCCAGGAGCTGGGGCTTCATGAAAAGCACCAAATAATGCAGGCCTTGCAATAATATTGTGAAAGTTGAAAAAAGGCTAAAATAGAGTACCTAATCACGGACTGTTGAGCCCAGCTGGAGAGCTGAGACAACTCAAGGGCCTTTGCCAGATTTTGGCTGGAAACTGTCCACAGAGATTTGACCCTTAAACAGCCATGAAGCCGTAAGCATTGTGTTTTGGGGCTGAAGGGGAAATGGGCTGTTATGTTTTCCAGGAGTCAGGGAAGCTGTGTTTTGGGGCTGGTGCAGGAAATCGGGTGTTGTATTCTGTGGCTATCAGGGAGGGCAGGGAATGGAGAGGGGTGTTGAAGGTGTGTTTTGAGGGCTCTGAGAAGGGGTTTTAGTTGTTGGGTGTGGATATGATTATCATGCTCTTTACATGGAGTTCTGGTGCTTGTTTCATTGTCTCTTCCATTCTGAATTTATGAGCTGTATATGTTGAGAGTTGCCTTGTTTGTTTGGCATCTGACATTTTGTTTACCCAGGAGGAGGAGAGTAACAAAGGAAAGTTTAAACTGAATCAAAATATGATGTTCTTAAAAGGGAGCAAAATCACCTAGTGCTTAAAAAAGAAGCCAATAACTTAATCAATGGTGAAATAAAGCTGAAGTTTGAAAGATCCAAGACAGCCAAAGACATAGTAACCACAACTGACCTAACCCAGGCAAAGAGAAGTTCTAGCAGTGAAAGCACCTAAAATAGGTAATGGCAAGAATCTGGCATTTTTTACTGTGATTGCAGGATTGGGGCCTTAGACTGCAATTTCTTTGGCGCAACAATCATCTTTTTATACTATTTGTACAGCACTAACACAATGGGGCCCCTACGTGCTACCATAATACAAATAATAAATCCTAATTTCTCTGAGCTGAGACTGCAAAATATGAGAAGGGTATTAGCTAAAGATTGTCCTAAACTGCAATGTTTGGATCTAGAGGCAAACTCTCCCAAAGTTTGGGGGAGATTAGATCAGATCCAGGATTCCAGGTGAGGCCTTTTCTAGTACAGAATAGGAGGGAGAGCCTTTTTTAATTCTCTGCCCATTCCCTTCTTGCCAAACATGCTACCTCAGTATTTTTCCTTTATTTTGATATTAGTGCTGTTGAAACGTGTAAGATTGACAGCTCTGGATACTGAATACATTGAACACCAGAACAAGTATAGGATGGGCCAGCTTCCCTCACCCAGCCCCGCCAATGTGCCTCAGACATGCAGCCTGGACAGACCACACCTGCCTCACTGTGTCTGTGGTGACGTTTCTGGACAATACCAGCAACAAAAATGTGACATAATGGGTTGGTCTCATGTGCAGTCTAAGACTCCCCTCTTGTGCTCTGGGGAGCAGGCAAGATAAGGAAATACACAAGGTTCCCTAAACATTTCAGATGAGTTGTGCTTACCATGCCCCTGTTCTCCAGAGCCATCTGAGAGCAGTAATTTTGTAAATGGGAACATCCTTCGTGCTTTGAGAAAGCGAGATCAGAGCAGGCGGAAATGTGATGTATGGGATCCAAAACAAAGTTGCTGCTGGGTCTAATTTAAGGCCTGTCAGCCTGGCTGATGTTCTTGGGAGTTGTGGCTGATTTATGGTGATATTGTATGCGTGCAGTTTATTTTCTTCTGAAAGTTAATCTGCTCAAGATTCTCGTTTCACCTTTCTGGCCCTCAGCCTGAATCTGTTTTTTGCCTCCATTTCAACAGAAATAAATCCGCTCTTAACTGTGGCTTCAGTAACTCTTCATACACCCAGCTCCAGGCACTATCCGACCCGGCTTCCCAGGAACAATTCATCCTTGCAGCATAGGACCTTCACTGCTACAAAAACAAATGAACATTTCTGTGCATATTAGAGATGGATGGGCCCAAACAAAACCCCATCTTTAATCTTTGGATCCAGAGTTCTCTCTCTTGAATGGGCACAACCCAAACCCCAGATCTACTCTACTGAATTTGAACGAGGAGTACTTGTGACACCTTAGAGACTAACACATTTATTTGAGCATAAGCTTTCATGGGCTATAACAGCCCACGAAAGCTTATGCTCAAATAAATTTGTTAGTCTCTAAGGTGCCACAAGTACTCCTGTTCTTTTTGCTGATACAGACGAACACAGCTACCACTCTGAAACCTATCTACTGAATTTGTATCAGAGGGGTAGTGGTGCTAGTCTGTATCCACAAAAACAATGAGGAATCTGGTGGCACCTTAAAGACTAACAGATTTATTTGGGCATAAGCTTTCGTGGGTAAAAAAACCCACTTCTTGAAGAAATGGGTTTCTTATCCACGAAAGCTTATGCCCAAATAAATCTATTAGTCTTTAAGGTGCCACCGGACTCCTCATCTACTGAATTTGGAGATTCAAATTCTGAATCCAAATTTGAACTACCCCAAAGTCTGGTGTGTTCAGAATCAGATGTTACATACCATAGCATCAAGGTGCAAGTCAGATCTGACTCCATTGTTCGGATCCAGGCCTTTGTCCCATCTCTAATTTAAATCACTAAGTCACACTTTAATATTAGTATTAATGCTGTCTCTGATGCAAATTAAAAAGATTTAAATTTTGTCAATATGGGCCTAATTCATTCTTAGTGTGACTGTGTTGTTTTCAGGGATCTTGCATCAAGGATCATTTTGGCCCTGTTGGCCCAATTCACCGGTGCACCTGACACCCTTCTGGCATTGCAACCTCTTGCACAGATGTAAATTAATACACAAGGTGCAGGGCATCAGAGAATGGGGCCCCCTGTTTACTCACTGTGTCTGTGAGTAGTTTACCTACTGCACTTGCACAGGAAGGGAGAGGCTGGTTTTTAAAAATAAAAAATATTATAGGTCACTTGCCGAATAGTGCATCAGATAATTGCTAGAGCATGTTTGCATAGTTGCAAATTTCTCAGCCTTACTATCCCTGATCAGACACTGCCCTGCTTCTCCCTCTTTCTTTCTTGTACTATGGGAGTCACCTTAAAATCATCTGTTTTGGATTAATATTTATTAAATAAAGCCAAGGAGCAAAGAAAAGAGTCCCAGCAGGTGTGCTGATAATATGCACTGAGTGGGAGGTTAGTTGCTTGTTAAAAGAGCTTTGAAAATCAGACGTCTGGTGACAAAGCATTACAGAGAGGCCAGGTGCAGGCCTGCATCATCAGCGCTGCCCTCTCTCTGAGTGATATTAGATTAATAAGGGGGTTTTGGCTGTACTTCTGAGTGATCCTAGGACTCAAGTCTCCCCCCAAGGGACTTGAATGGAAGCAGGATTAATCCCTGAGAATAAATCTCCTTCATGTTACCATAGCAAAAATTCCAATTTTATTCATGGACTAGAGGCAGCAGCTGTACCCTGCTGTCACGAGGGAGCCTTTCAGAAGCCTGTGTGCTACAAGTGGCCTGTGGCCAGAATTATAAATCCTGCATGCAGCCAGAAGAGTGCCAGAGTTTAGCAAACGACTTCAGAGTCCACACATCAGAATCGGGGACAAGACGCTATCGCGTTGTTGTGGGTGTCATGTCCTAATCCCCCTTGAACCCCTAACTGGCCTTTCTTTGGCCAGACAAATGCCCAGTGGCAAGGCATCACTCACTACCCTTTAAATGCTGAATATTGAGCACTCTGTCCCTCTCATCTCCAGGTGTGTGCGTAGCCTGGATCACTCTGGATTTCCCACCTGTCCTGGAATGATGTCAGTTCATTGTTTTTAAACTCTTGTTGCATTCAAAATAGGAGCTGGATTTTGTAAAAACAATGCAACGCATAAGAAATATCTTGTCTGAAAACCCCAACACTGATGACAATGTAGTGATGATGCTAATACTCTGCCCTTCTCTGACACCTTTTAGCCAAGGCTCTCAAACTGCTTTGCAGTAACTATACTTGACAACACCACAGAAGATCCAATAGGTATACATGCTATTGAAATAAAGGCAACCCTAGGGTAGAATAAGGCACTTGTTTAACAGTCATACAAGAGTGCTACAAAGGTATTGGACGGGAAGTGAATAAGAATCCTGTATCCAGATGAAACTGCAGGGGGAATTTTGATCAGCCCATAGTAATTAACTGAGATGGAGTATGATTAGGATGCATAATAATACAACTGCTCCTTAGCATTTTGAGATCAGTAACATTTTACAGCTGCATAAACAAATTCTCACAATGCTCTTCTGCGATAGGTAGGATCCCTTATTTGACAGAATCTGTTTTGAAGAGATGCAGCGACTTGCCCACGGTCACACAGGAAGTGAGTGACAGCCAGGATTAGACCTTTGGATACCCAGAGTTATAACAGTTAATGCTAACAAAGTAGCAGCAGGCAGATAAAACCTCCTCTTTCAGGACTTCAGTCAGACTATTAGGGATTAGGATGAGACCTTGTGGGGGTCAGAAACCCCTCATCTGCCTATGGTGGGGTTTCTTGCAACTTCCTCTGAAGACTCTGATGCTGCCTACTGTCAGAGACAGGTTCCTGGATTAGATGGGCCATGGGTGAGATTGAGCATGGTAGTTCCTGTATTCATCTAGCTTCTCTATAGTTCACACCCATATTTTGATGCAAAATGACATGAGAGCTTAATGACCATCATAAGACTTGACATTTTTAAGCTTCAAAAGTCAGTACAAGCCTTAGCTCATTGATCCTCCCAACACCCCTGTGAGAGAGAGAGGGGGTAGAGAATAAGTGGCCTGGCTTCTCTTTCATATCATATTTGAATAGGTGATGACCAATCTAGCAACACAGCGATCCCTCGCACCAGGCTGGGGCATCAGTTCCTTACAGAGATGGAAAAGCACCGCCTACTGTGTTACCCATATTACTTCACAATGCCCCTAGGCTATCCTTGGAAATCTCCCATCTAAGTGATAACATTTCTTAGACTGTGGCATGTGATTAATAATTCTGGGTGCTGGGGCACAGGTGCTGTGTGATATGCTGAGAAAAAAATGAATTGATGGACTTAGCATCATCCTGGGCCTCATTTTTTTTCCGTTGGCAACAAATAATCCTGCTGGTGATGAAATTGGACTAAGTACCCCATCCAAAATATTAAAGAACCAAAATCTTACTGTACCCCCAGGGTAACTGTGCCCTTTACCCTTTTAGGAGAGATGACTCAAAAACTGGAGGACTGTGTTAAAGTCCACAAATATTAAACATACAGGACCAAATTTGTCCCTGGTGTAAGCCCACTAACTGCAGTGAAGTTACACCAGTAATACCTGTGGCTCATTGCATAATGTTTTGTTCTTTGAACAGTCTAGGTAAGGAGCAACAAAGTCCTGTGGCACCTTATAGACTAACAGACGTATTGGAGCATAAGCTTTCGTGGGTGAATACCCACTTCGTACTAAATAGTAGCACAATATACTGGATCAGCGGTGATAAACATTTTAAAACTGGGCCCAGTCCTACACCTTAGAAGTCATTGGGAGTGTTGCTATTGGTTTGCAACTTGTGAATGGCACTTTGAAATATTTTTTACTCTGTGATGTTGGCAATACCAGTAAGTGTGTTGCTCTCTGAGCTGCTAATATAGTCCGCTTTAGACTTTAATAGTTTACTGTATGTACAGTGTTATATTTCAATAATCTAAGCAGCCTTTGAGATCTGTTTTTTTCTCTCCTGCTGCTGATAGCTCATCTCAGTTGATTGGCCTCTTACAGTTGGTATGGGTACTTCCACCTTTTCATGTTCTCTGTATGTATAAATATCTTCTGTCTGTGTGTTCCATTCTATGCATCCGAAGAAGTGAGCTGTAGCCCACGAAAGCTTATGCTGAAATAAATCTGTTAGTCTCTAAGGTGCCACAAGTACTCCTGTTCTTTTTGCCGATACAGACTAACACGGCTGCTACTCTGAAACCTGAGATCTGTCAGTAGCAGTTAGCAATAAACACTTCCTTGCTACTAGCCTATATTAAGGCCTTCTGAGGTTTTGAAATATCCACCAATGAGAATGTAGGTAAGACTTGGTCAACCAATGGCAAAGTTTGTTTGGTAACTCACTGAAAATCAACAGGAAGACAAGATCCTTGAAAAGCTGCTGAAAACCCCAGTCTCTTTTCAGCATTTTCACAGCCCAAGTTTTCAGCCAGTCAGCAAATCCAGTTGTCGAGTCTTAGCCAATCAAAACATCATGTGGTTTTTTGGTATGCTTTAGTCACTGATTTTCATGAGAAATGCATAGGAGTGGCAGGCGTGGAGTGTGATTGTTCAGGATTTCATACACAGTGCTTTCTTCTGTATCCTGAAAATTCAGGCTGAAATCACACAAGGATATTGTTAAAGGGGCATTATCAATTTGAGCTCTAGTCAGTTTCAAAACAAAACAAAACAAAAGGTACAGTTGAATCAGATACCTACCCCCAAGTCTCCCTGACAATTTTTGTAGTTTTAAAAGCACATTTTTCTGGAGTGTTTAAAGATGTTTTTCCTTCCCCTGTTGCTATGTGAAAGATCCAAACTAGAAAAAAAACCAAAGAAATTATTTTTCTGTAATCTTTTTCAGTCACAGTACTAGGCACAAACAATATTTTACAGGGACTATAACAATAGTAGGTAAAAACTTACAGTGTGGGTTTTATGTTGACAGTATCCTTTTAACTCACTGTATAGACTAGAACTCAGGGAACTGCCATTTATGCAGTGGAAAGCGCTCTAGACAGACATTGCCTGGG